GTGTACGTAATTTTATTAAAATTCTGTTAAGGTCTCTGTTGGGTTTATAAATAGGCGATCAAGCACACTTTTGCAGCATCCTGGCCAAGTCTCCTGGTATGTCAGGGGGATTCCCGTTTACAAGCAAAAAACTCCTGCCTCCATAACAGTATTTGGTCCTGCCATGCGGGCAGGGGACTGGACTCGATGACCTCTCGAGGTCCCTTCCAGTCCTAGAATCTATGAATCTATGTGTATTTTTGTCTAGGTTGAGGGGCATAACTCAAAGAGGGGACTCAGTTCAAAAAGGGACAGTACCCTAATACAGTGGATCTCAACCTTTCCAGACTACTGTACCCCTTTCAGGAATCTGATTTGTCTTGCGGATCCCAAGTTACAGCTAATTTAAAAATTATTTACTTACAAAAATCACACATAAAAATACAGAAGTGTCACAGCACACTTTTAGTGAAAAAAATTGCTTACTTTCTCATTTTTATCCTATTATAAAATAAATCAATTGGAATATAAATATTTTACTTACATTTCAGTGTATGGTATATAGAACAGTATAAACAAGTCATTGTCTGTATGAAATTTGTGTTTGTACTGACTTCGCTAGTGCTTTTTATGTAGCCTGTTGTAAATTAGGCAAACATCTAGATGAGTTGATGTACCCCCTGAAAGATCTCTGCAAATCTCCAGGGGTACCCGTACCCTGGTTGAGAACCACTGCCCTAGTAAATTCCCACCTGCTACCAGTTGCTGGGGTTCTGGCTTCTCTCCCGGGCATTGCCCTCAACATTTTTCTTATCATTACCTAATATTTTTAGTTCTATATTAGTTGTCTGGTAAAATGTGGGGTAATGGGAGTCTGGAGGGGCAAGTAGCTGGGCAAAAGAGGGAGCAATTGATTCCAAAATGTTAGAAAAGATTAGTACAGCGGAGAAATTATGGGAGAGAAGAAGGAAGATTCAAAGAGGAGACAAATTTGATAATGTTATAAATATACTGCCATATATTTCATGTTATAGTCTCGGACGATGCCTCATCACATTTTGTTCATTTTTAAGAACACTTTCACTGCAGATTTGACAAAACACAAAGAAGGTACCAATGTGAGATTTCTAAAGATAGCTAAAGCACTTGACCCAAGGTTTAAGAATCTGAAGTTCCTTCCAAAATCTGAGAGGGACAAGGTGTGGAGCGTACTTTCAGAAGAGTTAAAAGAGCAACGCTTGGATGCAGAAACTACAGAACCCGAACCATCCAAAAACAAACTCAACCTTCTGCTAGTGGCATCTGATTCATCTAATGAAAATGAACATGCACCAGTCCGCTCTGCTTTGGATCGTTATCTAGCAGAACCCATCATCAGCATGGATGCATGTCCCCTGGAATGGTGCATGAAGCATGAAGGGACATACGAATCTTTAACACATAAATATCTTGCAACGCCAGCTACTACGGTGCCATGAGAACGCCAGTTCTCACTTTCAGGTGACATTGTAAACAAGAAGCGGGCAGCATTATCTCCTGCAAATGTTACCAAACTTTTGTCCGAGCAATTGGCTGAAAAAGAAGTAGGACTGAGTGGACATGCAGGCTCTAAAATTTTACATTGTTTTATTTTTGAATGCAGTTTTTTTTGTACATAATTCTACATTTGTAAATTCAACTTTTTATCATAAAGACTACAGTGCTTGTATTAGGTGAATTGAAAAATACTGTCTTTTGTATTTTTACAGTGCAAATACTTGTAAGCAAAAATAAATATAAAGTGAGCACTGTACACTTTGTATTCTGTGTTGTAACTGAAATATATTTGAAAATGTAGAAAAGTCCAAAAATATTTAAATAAATGGTATTCTATTGTTGTTTTACAGTGCCATTAATCGTGATTAATTTTTTTTAATCGCTTGACAGCCCTAATGATAATATATAATTGTTTTATTTGTATGCACTACTGTTGTAGCCATATTGATCATATTAGAGAGACAAGATGGGTGAGGTAATATCTTCATTGGACCAACTTCTTTTGGTAAGAAAGACAAGTTTTCAGACTTACACAGAGTTCTTTATTTGTTTAAATTGCAGGGGGTGTATCCTGAAGGCATAATGCCAAGTATTTTTCACAGTGGCTAGTAGGTTTAGTCCATAGACCAGTACATATTGGATTAATTATTGACATCCCAATTCAAGATATTCCTTCTACTTACCAATGTAAGATTTCATCTGCCTTCACGAGGCCCATCACCTAAGTTTTCTAGGTCCCTCTGGAGTTCTTTAGTCTTGACTAACCTAAATAACTTGGTGTCATCTTCAAGTTCACTCCTATTTTACAAATCATTAATATATTAAACCCCATCCCACCCAATCTCGTTTTCACCTGCTCATAACCAAGACTTGAAAAACCCATCCGCCCATAGAAAACTCGAGAAAGTAAGCTCAAAGTAATCTGCTGCTTTTGGGAAAAGCTAAAAGTGGTGGAGCTAACCCAAAGAACAGAAACTCAGAAAGGAGTAGCAGAAATCCAAAGGTAGCAGCAAGAAGAATGGGAGAAGAGTTGAGTAGCAGAGACACCAGCCATATACATACACACACCAAGTCTGGGGGAAGGGAAGCAAGGGGTTCCCTGCCAACAACTAGAAAGGGCTTCAAGTTTATCAGACACATACTAACCAGAAGCTGACACAAAAGATGAAGCCCCTAAGCAGGGTCCCAGGACAAAACCGTGATAAGAATTGTACTACCCTTGCTCTACCCAGCAGCTGGAGGCGGGGGAACTGGTCTTTTAATAAAATCAGACACACTACAATTCACTGGTTCCTCCCACCCCCTTATCTTTTATCAGCCTGGAGCTAGTGGAGTCATCAATTTTCAAGTCCTGTTGAGAGTTTTCTAACAAAAAAAGGTTCTTTTATGCTGAAACTTTCCATCCATTATCCGAAAGATAAGAGATTTTCTTTAATTTTAAGTTACACAAGAGTGATTGACATAAACTATCAGTTATAATTGTTTAAAAATTAATATTCATGTGCAGCATGAAACTGCTACTAAGTTTAGAATTGTACACTTTTGTGCCAGTTTCATTGTGGGGTTCTACAGCTGTGTAGTCAAAAGCTTTCCAGGTACGGTAGTATGCAGAGAAAACAGTAGATAGTCTCCTTTCTCTTTCCTCCTTCTAAAAACCGAAATGCATGAAAACATAAGCTAATGTCAGTCACACTTTTAAACAGCTCAAGAGTCAGGCAGTAAAGATACGATTTTCATAGCAATCATTACTCACCTACATTACACCTATACAGTATTTTAGAATAGTAATTAATTGTACTTTAAGATCCAGTGGGTCCCTGTTCTGTCCTCCTATATGCACTATTCCTATTCACTTTAGTGTGGAACGTGTATTTGAGAGATAGATTAGGTACTGTTTGTACAATGTAGACAAGTTAAGGTTACTATGAACCTTAACTTTTGCTTTTTCAGCCTCAAATATTCCATACTACAACTAAGTTTATACACTAACTTACATGATATAGAGCTAGAATCCTAAAGAACTGAGATCCTTCAGGATGAAAGATCTTCACAATGTATCCTATCACTACTATTTAAAAAAACTCATGCACTGTAGGCTTTTTGTAAATTCAGTAAATCATTTCCAACCTTCAAACAGGAAATTCTACTATAGCCACATAGAGGCATTTAAACTGGCTTAATGAGAAGGTCAATCACAAGAGGCAGGTATGACCAGAGGTTACACTGGGCAAGTTCCCAGGCACTGAGTAACCCTTGCTATTGACTGGTAAACTCCACAGCTACTGGATTCAAGGATAAATGGTGCAACCAATTGGGACATCCAGAGGAGGGAAACCTGGCCCAGCCTGGCAATACAGGAGATGCCTCTGTAGGGTGAGGGGTCAGGGTCTTCTCTCCTGCCCCCCAATCTCCATCCTTTCCTTGATTTTTTTGCCCTGCACCTCTACTATGAAATTTAATCAAAATTTATATGACAAAATCATATCCCTACTCATGAGTTACGCAGTCCAGCAAAGGACAACCTACTCAGGTACATTATATCAACACACAAAAGAACAGGTCCAACAGGGATAAGGAGACTCTACACCTCAATACCCTGCTCTCCCCAAGTGGGGTGCAAGATGAGGACAAATATGTCTAGAACACACCCGAAAAGCAGCCTATTTAGAGAACATAGGAAAAGATGCATGTAGGCCAAAGTGAGCCATTAGGGCACCATTCAACTAAGGTCATGAAAAAAATAATTTGGAAATGAAAGTATGTGGATACTTTCTCTCTACTGCAGTTGGTAGCCAGCCAACAAGCCACAGGGTGCTATGCAACTTAGACAACAGGTCGGGAGATGTGTACGACACTTAAGGTCGTACATGTCATTGACAAAAATGTACACGATTCATTTCTGCCTTCATTTTATGACAACAGCCAGAGCAGCCCAGAACACAGAATTAAATACATGGATGTGACAGGCAATGCACATACTACAATCAGTTGGGGGCGGCGGGGCAGCAGTGCAGACTTAGAGGAGTTGTGGATCTCATCCCAACATACAGCAAAAAGGTACCTTATATTTAATACTGTCTAAAAGAAGAGACTTGACGAGACTTCTAGTCCTGAAGGGGAAACTACCTTCCCTGAGCCCCAGGAACTGGGGAGCAGAAGGGGGGAATATTTGGCTTAGCTTCATTTTCTGCCCTTCACTCCACCGCTATATACAGCTTAACCCTTCTGCCCCCACCCCCCTGCACCATAGGGGGCTCAGCTCCCGCCCCCCACAGCGCCATAGGGGCACAGCCCCCGCCCCCTCCGGACCACGGGGCGGCAGTCAGTTGGGCTTTGAACCCTGCCGCGGAAGCGGCGCTGAGAGCCCCGACCCTCCCAGCCCGGCTCGCCTGGTTCGGGCCTCCCTACCCCGCCGCTGCCGGTTGGGGACGCGCCGAGGCGGGGACGCGCGACGCTCGCACACAGGGGCGGAGGGAGTCAGTTACCAGGGTCCAGGCGGAGCGGCAGCTGGTCGGGGTCCGAAGGTGGCAGGTCCCGGCCCAGAGCCGCGATCTTTCCGCAGCGGCGGCAGCTTGTCAAAGAGAAAACATGACGTGGGAGGGAGGCGGCGGGAATCTCGCGGGGCTATCGCCCAACTCTCGCGAGACCCGGTCGCGGCTTTCCCTCTGTCCGAGTCCGGGGGGCGGGGCGGCTCCTGCAGTCCCACCCTCTCTGCGTCGGGGCTGAGCCTGCCGGGCGGGATCGCACGTAGCAGCGACCGAGGCTGCGCCTCGCCTCCATGTGCTCCCCGACACACCCCCACGAGCCGAGCGGCATAGCGCCACGTGCGGCTTGTTTCCCGCTGTGCCATGCACCCCACACTCACCACATCCCCCCGCACCCCCTGCACAGTGTGCACCTGGCACCCCGCCATATGCCTCAGGTAGTGTGCCCTGGCCCCCTCTGTGCCATGCCCTCTGCCACATCCCCACACGAGCCCCCTGCACAGTGCGCATCTGGCATCCTGCCATATGCCCCATGTAGTGTGCCCTCAACCCCTGCTGTGCCATGCCCTCTGCCACATCCCCGCATGAGCCCCCCTGAACAGTGTGCACCTGGCACCCATAGCCTCTGTCACATCCCCAGAGCCCTGTAGCACAATGTGCAGCACACCCCGCCATGAGCCCCATGCACAGGGTGCACCTTGTGCCTCGCTGTTCGATGGGGCCTGCCCCATCCCTATCACCACTCTGTGCACTACAAGCCCCATGGCACAATGCAGCAGCTTACACCTGTGCGTTGCACTGTGGACGTGCGCCCCCTCACACCTCCTCACTGCACTGTGTGCCACAAGCTCCATACCACAATGTGCACCACGCAAACTGCTGTGCCATGTATCATGCACCTCTGCCATATCTTCCCACTATACTGTACAAATCCCTCTGGCACAACATGCACCTTTTACACCTGCTATGCCATGCTCTGTGTACCCATATTGTGCTCCGTGCACCCATTTCATCTCCACAATAGATACCATGAGCCCCATGCCAAAGTAGGCACTATGTGCCAGACACCCTGCACTCCTACCACATCTGTCTGCCCTGTACCATGAGGCCCCTGCCTCAATATGCACCCTTGCTGCATCCCCCGCCACACGATGCATCGTGCACTATGCTCCTGTGATCAGACTGTACCCCTATGTTCATCCTTTTTACAAGACTATAATGCATTTTGTACAAAATATGCCTTGTGAGGCATCATTTGAAAACACATAATCTGCTGAACATTATGGTCCTGATAAAATATGTGTGGCAACATTGTTAAAGTTATAAGATTCTACTGTATAACATTGCTGTAACATGTTTCAAAGTTAGAAAGGCAGGTCCAAACCAGTTCTTCAGAGACAAAAAGCTAGTCAGTGCCTCAGTCACAGCTCCCCCAACCATAGCCATCAAAATGCTCGCCCCAATGACCCCTCCATGTACTATAATGTGTGTCTCATACCCTTACCATACTGTGACATATGCCCTCACCAGCCTCCCCAAACACCACAAGTCCTTGCCCTACACATCTCCCTTCAACACATGACCCCCTGCACCTCTGCTCACCCTTAATATAATGTTCACACAATTGTTATTGCTCTTTATACACATTTAATGAATTTCATTGCTACCCCTTTTTCACAGATGGGGAAAACTTGTGTACAGAGAGGTTAAAGGACTTACTACAGGTCACAAAGCAAGTATGGTGTTTGGTTCTCACCCATCCCAAATTTTGCAGGACATTTCGTAAACTCAGGGAACAGTTCCGCTTCAGGTGACAAAGCAAGGCTGAACTAAGGGCCAGAGGCAAATCTGGGATTAAAAAACACAGGAATTCATTGCTCCTACACCCTGTTCAGACCACAGTACTTTACTACATCCTAAAATCTAACCCCTGGATTCATAAGATTCTCTATCTGCAGCGGGAATAGAATCCATAATGTTCTGTTCCAAAACCTGCAGTTCTTGATCCACTCAAGCTGATCGATAATCTCCATTAGCAATAGTTAGTATTATACTACTCTCCCGCAGACTGCAGCCACAGAGGATAATGTTAAAGAGATGCCATCAACTAGAAGACTTATTTCTGTTTGAAAAATTTGCAAACACTTTAGTTACAAGTAGCATCTTGGTGTGTTGGACAGCTTTTTCTGTAGTCATCTTCACTGTTCCCCATGCAGTATCAGTTTTTCTCTTGTTGAAAAGACTTTTCCAAACAAGCATAAACAGGGGAGCGGGGGCGGAGGAAAAGCATGATAAAATACATAATTTAAACATTCAGGACATACTATTTAAAAGTGCTATGTCAGAAGCTAGACTTTTTAGCAAATGAGTGAATTACCATAAATTAAGTTCACAAGTGTCCTTTTAACTCTCAAGGAATTTAGACTCGTGCACATTTAATATTTTTGAACTATGAAAACTTACATACCAATTTGGTCAAACTCTCAGGCTTCTGACAAGTTGCTAATGCTTCCCCCCATATAGCAGTAGTACCAAAAGCCCCAGTCAAAAGGCACATAAAAAGGTCACAGCCCCTACATTGAAGCACTTACAATCTCCAATCCTGAAATGTAATGTATATGGGAATACACCTGCATCTGCATGGAGCCCCGTTGATTTCAAAATCTGCAGAAATACAAGTCAATCTCAAGATGGGGCCTAAGAAGACAAGCAACAGATGAAGGGTAGGGAGGGGAGGAAGCAAGTATACAGAAACTAACAGTAAAGAAGGCTATTTGGAAAGAATCAGTTGGAAACACACCACTGATCTTAACTCAAAATGCTTCTTCTTATAGTTTCAGCATACACATTTTTAAAACGATACATAATATGTAGTTTGGGATTTTCAGAGGTGTACAACTCCCTTCACTTCCTTTAAAAATCCCATCCATAAATCCCATCCCTTGCATCTGAAGAAGTGAGGTTCTTACCCACGAAAGCTTATGCTCCCAATACTTCTGTTAGTCTCAAAGGTGCCACAGGACCCTCTGTTGCCCCATCCATATAATAATTCCTGCTGTCAGATACCAGTCTGTGGACCAAGGAAAACAAAGGAAAAGATCTAGGTTATTGTGCCCAGTTTATAACTGCAAGCATAGCATCTACCAGTATGCTGCTCACATTCCTATTAGGGAGGAAGGCAGAATATAGCTATGTTCTTCCTACAGTTTCAATTCGATGTATTATTCTTCATCACTTTTGGTCCTACACTGTGGTGTAGTGTTGCTGTTCATTATTAAACAGCTGCTGCATTCCATATCTGAGGTAGCTGCACTTCAGGAGAGAGCAAAACTTCTTGTATATTTTTCAACCTATATGTGTCACTTTGGAAACTTATGGGGTGAAAAGTACAATCAAATTATTACAGTTAGTGGCAATTACAACATCTAGCTGCTAAGAGATTAATTTATCTCAACTGTTTATACAGCTGAGAGCAGTGTATGTGTTCATTTTTATGCTCACATTTAAAATCTTTATTTTCTTCCAAATTAAATAAAAATCAATGTTACTGTACTTTTTTTGGCAATAGCTGCTACAGATTATCTTGGTTGATATACAAGTGTTTCAGTGCAAGTAATTGAGGCAAACCCATTGGGTTTATGCTTTCAAAAGTGAATTTTTTTTCAAGATCCTTGGTGTCCATCCAGACCCTTGAGCGATAGTTCCTCCCAAAAAGCAGATGAAGACAGGACACTAAGTTTTTTAATGACTTAATTCTTTCCACAATAGTCTAATTGTTTCTCAGCATTCAATTGAATATTATGAAAGCAGTTCTCAAAGACTGGGCTCAAAGATTTTTGCTAATAAACTTCAATAATGCCATGAACATTCCCAAGAAAAGATTATATAAACAGAGAGGTCAATTTACACAGGGACAGAAATTGGAGTGGCATTGATGATCTCAAAGAAAATAAATCCAATAGGAAAATTTTCCTCTCTCTTTTCAACCTTCCATACCAGACCAGTCATTTGGGACCTCCTAAAGCAGTTAAAGCACATGAGTTCAGGGGGCACTGATAACTACCTGCAATACATCTCTGCTAACAAACCTCCAGCCACCAAAGCTTGTACATCAACTCTGCATTGCTTGGAACAAATGTGCTCAACATCCAGCTGACTGCCTTACAATTCTCTTCCCCTCTTTCTGCCCATGATGATCCCATTCATCAAGTTGAATGTGCCTTAAAAATGGCTTTGGCACCACTTTTCCACTTGCTCTCTGTATGTGTGTATATATATCTCCTCAATATATGTTCCATTCTATGCATCCGAAGAAGTGGGCTGTAGCCCACGAAAGCTTATGCTCTAATAAATTTGTTAGTCTCTAAGGTGCCACAAGTACTCCTGTTCTTTTTGCGGATACAGACTAACACGGCTGCTACTCTGAAACTTTTCCACTTGTTAGTTATTTAATGCACTCAGAGGCAGTCAATTGGAATGCTGCTTGGCTTTTGCTTAGTCCTATGTGCTGAACGAACAGTCTAGTCACGCCTCTAAATTCTGCCTCTCTTTCCAGTTTAACCCACAGTCCTTGTGGATGACCAGGCAACAAAGCTTACTCTGCTTTCAGTGAATTATGGTTCAGGTAAAAAGCAGGAAAGACAGTTTCCTGATTCTGACAGTTAGCAAATGTTATCTTTGGTTTGAATTTTGTAGGGTTCTGAGCACAACCTCATCCTAGGGAAAGTCGTGTAGGTTTCCCTGCAAGACAGCACTGCCCTGAACAATGGAACCTTTAATGACAATAACTATAGCAAAATCCTCTTCGTCAGGTGAAAGGGGAAATTGTGAAAGTATTCAGCAGATCCTCGACAGGGGTTACTTTACTGATCACATGTTGTCCATGACTTTCAGGAAATATGTGGGTGGCCACCTATGGAGATGGCATCTGTTGCACCTGTAAACACTGCCATTACTGTGGATTGTACTTTATGCAGCAGATGCTCAGACTCATGTACAATCCATCTTGAAGATGGCAGGGACTGAAGCTGTGAGTGGGTCTATCTTCATCTTATCACACTAAGCAGAGAATGATTTTCAAATTCCTGAGTACCCTCGTGAGTACAGTAACTCCTCACTTAAAGTTGTCCCGGTTAACATTGTTATGTTGCT